TGCTTCAGCCTCCAGACTAGCTGGGACTACAGTCGCCCACCACTGTGCCAGACCAATTTTTTCCATTTTTAGTAGAGACTGTGTTAGTCAGGATGGTCTCGATCTCCTGACCTCGTGATCCACCCGCCTTGGCCTCCCAAAGTGCTGGGATTACAGGCATAAGCCACCACGCCCAGCCTAGATTTTCTATTTTATTTGTGTGGAAGTGTTTATAGTATTCTCTGATGGTAGTTTGTATTTCTGTGGAATTGGTGGTGATATCCCCTTTATCCTTTTTTATTGCTTCTATTTGATTCTTCTCTCTTTTCTTCTTTATTAGTCTTGCTAGCAGTCTATCTATTTTGTTGATCTTTTCAAAAAGCCAGCTCCTGGATTCACTGATTTTTTAAAGGATTTTTTGTGTCTCTATCTCCTTCAGTTCTGCTCTGATCTTAGTTATTTCTTGCCTTCTGTTAGCTTTTGAATGTGTTTGCTCTTGCTTCTCAAGTTCTTTTAATTGTGATGTTAGGGTGTCAATTTTAGATCTTTCCTGCTTTCTCTTGTGGGCATTTAGTGCTATAAATTTCCCTCTACACACTGCTTTAAATGTCTTCCAGAGATTCTGGTACGTTGTGTCTTTGTTCTCTTTGGTTTCAAAGAACATCTTTATTTCTGCCATCATTTCGTTATGTACCCACTAGTCATTCAGGAGCAGGTTGTTCAGTTTCCATGTAGTTGTGCAGTTTTGAGTGAGTTTCTTAGTCCTGAGTTCTAATTTGATTGCACTGTGGTCTGAGAGACGTTTTGTTATGATCTCTGTTCTTTTACATTTGCTGAGGAGTGCTTTACTTCCAAATATGTGGTCAATTTCAGAATAAGTGTGATGTGGTGCTGAGGAGAATGTATATTCTGTTGATTTGGGGTGGAGAGTTCTGTAGATGTCTATTAGGTCCACTTGGTGAAGAGCTGAGTTCAAGTCCTGGATATCCTTGTTAAGTTTCTGTGTCATTGATGTGTCTATTGTTGACAGTGATGTGTTAAAGTCTCCCATTATTATTGTATGCGAGTCTAAGTCTCTTTGTAGGTCTGTAAGACTTGCTTTAGAAATCTGGGTGCTCCTGTGTTGGGTGCATATATACTTAGGATAGTTAGCTCTTCTTGTTGAATTGATCCCTTTTACCTTTATGTGATGGCCTTCTTTGTCTCTGTTGATCTTTGTTGGTTTAAAGTCTGTTTTATCAGAGACTAGGATTGCAACCCCTGCTTTTTTGTTTTGTTTTGTTTTCCATTTGCTTAGTAGGTCTTCCTTCATCCCTTTATTTTGAGCCTATGTGTGTCTCTGCACAAGAGATGGGTCTCCTGAATACAGCACACTGATGGGTCTTTACTGTTTATCCAATTTGCCAGTCTATGTCTTTTAATTGGACCATTTAACCCATGTATATTTAAGGTTAATATTGTCATGTGTGAATTTGAACCTTTCATTATGTTAGCTGGTTATTTTGCCCATTAGTTGGTGCAGTTTCTTCCTAGCATTGATGGTCTTTAAAATTTGGCATGTTTTTGCAGTGGCTGGTACTGGTTTTTCCTTTCCATGTTTAGTGCTTCCTTCAGGAACTCTTGTAAGTCAGGCCTGGTGGTGACAACATCTCTCAGCATTTGCTTATCTGTAAAGGCTTTTATTTCTCCTTCAGTTATGAAGCTTAGTTTGGCTGGATATCAAATTCTGGTTTGAAAATTCTTTTCTTTAACAATGGTGAATATTGGCCCCCACTCTCTTCTGGCTTGTAGAGTTTCTGCCAAGAGATCTGCTGTTAGTCTGATGGGCTTCCCTTTGTGGGTAACCCGACCTTTCTCTCTGGCTGCCCTTAACATGTTTTCCTTCATTTCATCCTTGGCGAATCTGATAATTATGTGTCTTGGGGTTGCTCTTCTTGAGGAGTATCTTTGTGGCATTCTCTGTATTTCCTGAATTTGAATGTTGGCCTACCTTGCTAGGTTGGGGAAGTTCTCCTGGATAACATCCTGAAGAGTGTTTTCCAACTTGGTTCCATTCTCCCCATCACTTTCAGTACACCAATCAAACATAGATTTGATCTTTTCACATAGTCCCATATATCTTGGAGGCTTTGTTCATTTCTTTTTACTCTTTTTCTCTAAACTTCTCTTCTCACTTCATTTCATTTATTTGATCTTTAATCACTGATACCCTTTCTTCCACTTGATTGAATCGGCTACTAAACCTTGTGTATGCGTCACGTAGTTCTTGTGCCATGGTTTTTGGCTCCATCAGGTTATTTAAGGTTTCCTCTACACTGTTTATTCTAGTAAGCCATTCGTCCAATCTTTTCTCAATTTTTTTAGCTTCCTTGTGGTGGGTTCAAACATTCTCCTTTAGCTCAGAGGAATTTGTTATTACCGATCTTCAGAAGCCTACTTCTGTCAACTCGTCAAAGTCATTCTCCATCCAGCTTTGTTCTGTTGCTGGCAAACTGAGAGAGATCCTTTGGAGTAGAAGAGGTACTCTGGTTTTTAGAATTTTCAGAGTTTCTGCTCTGGTTTCTCCCCATCTTTGTGGTTTTATCTGCCTTTGTTCTTTGATGATGGTGACCTACAGATCGGGGTTTGGTGTGAATGTCCTTTTTGTTGATGTTACTGCTATTCTTTTCTGTTTGTTGGTTTTCCTTCTAATAGTCAGGACCCTCAGCTACAGGTCTGCTGGTGTTTGCTGGAGGTTCACCCCAGACCCTGTTTGCCTGGGTATCATCAGTGGAGACTGCAGAACAGCAAATGTTGCTGCCTGATCCTTCCTATGGAAGCTTCATCTCAGAGGGGCACCTGGCTGTATGAGGTGTCAGTCAGCCCCTACTGGGAGGTGTCTCCCAGTTAGGCTACTTGGGGGTCAGGGACCCACTTGAGGAGGCAGTCTCTTTGTTTTCAGATCTCAAACTCCATGCTGGGAGAACCACTGCTCTCTTCAAAGCTGTCAAAAAGGGACATTTAAGTCTGCAGAAGTTTCTGCTATGTTTTGTTCAGCTATGCCCCACCCCCAGAGATGGAATCTACAGAGGCAAGCAGGCCTTGTTGAGCTGCAGTTGGCTCCACCCAGTTCAAGCTTCCTGGCCACTTTGTTTACCTAGTCAAGCCTCAGCAATGGTGGACACCCCTCCCCAAGCCTCTCTGCTGCCTCACAGTTCAATCTCGGACTGCTGTGCTAGCAGTGAGCAAAGCTCCTTCGGCATGGGACCCGCCAAACCAGGTGCAAGATATAATCTCCTGGTGTGCCATTTGCTAAGACCATTGGAAAAGCACATTATCAGGGTGGGAGTGTCCCAATATTCCAGGTACTGTCTGTCATGACTTCTCTTATCTAGGAAAGGGAATTCTCTGACTCCTTGTGCTTCCATGGTGAGGTGATGCCCTGCCCTGCTTTGGCTGACACTCTGTGGGCAGCACCCACTTTCTGACCAGTCCCAATGAGATGAATGCCGTACCTCAGTTGGGAATGCAGAAATCACTCGCCTTCTGCATCCCTCACACTGGGAGCTATAGACTGGAGCTGTTCCTATTCGGCCATCTTGGAATGATTCTCTTTCTTTCCATTTTAGATTCTGTAAGATGAAATATTTTTTAGATTTTGCAAGATTAAATTCACATATTAAACTACAAAACATATGTTAAGCACCTATCTCATTCTTTATTCCACTTTTTTACATAAAATGTAATAATTGAATATTTTGAATTCAATGTATTATATACTTTTAAAATCATTTAAATTAATTATACTTTGCCTTTTTACTAAAAAGTTGTACCACAGGACAATAAGAAATAGTATATTATTTTGCAGTTTTACTATTTTATAATGCCACTTTTATATAGCAAGCATTAACAGCAAGTTTTTAGACTATGAATACAAAATGCATTAAACTGCTTTCAGATAAGACTATATATTTTACATATTATGTATGTATATAATTATATGCAGTTATCTCTTGATATCCAAGGGGTATCGATGTCAGGACAATTTGTGAACACTAAAATCAAGTCACTCAAATCCCTTCTATAAAATGGCAAAGTATTGACATATAACCTACACATGTCCTCTTATATACTTTAAATCATCTCTATATTTTCTTATTTTTTGAAAATTTTCGATTAGCGGTTGGTTGAATCTATAAGTGCAGAACTCACAGATATGAAGGGCCAATAGTAAATATAAGAGTAACAATATAAGACAAACTATATTGTGACTATTTAGAATTTTACATTTCTCTACAAATGTCCTCCTTCAAGTGGTTAAGTTTGAAAATAGGCAAAGATTATTTCCAAATTGGTTTAAATGTTTTCAGTTTATTTTTAAATAACGGCTTATCAGAAATAATTTTATATTATATCCTGTTCCTAAATTGCATATATGGATGAAACTAAAAAGATCAATATCTCTTAACATTATACAGTATTAAAATTTATAATAAGATCTTTAACAAAGCTGGAAAGAAGCATTAACGTTTTCATACATTACTTTTGTAACACAAAGTTATTTGTCTATATCATAGAAACTTTTAAATGAGGGGAAAACCTAATCAGTTAATTGCTTCAGTAGCAGTCAATTATTGAATTCACATTTCTGACTTGACTGACCTTTTAAAAGTAAATAAGAAGTATTTTTCATCATATAAGTATCTTTTATACTTTTAAAAATCTGATCCAGGCATTCTGAGGAAAACCAAGGTGATAGATATATTGACAATTAGGAAAGTAGCATGAGTGCTCTCTCTCTATATATATAGATAGATATTAGATAGATAGATAGATAGATAGATAGATAGATAGATAGATGATTGATAGATGATAGACACATGTATGTATCTATATGAATGTATCTTCATAAGTAAACCAATTAATATGTAATACGTGTCTTCTGAAGGCACACAAAGACCAAGTGAAGTTTGATAACATAGAAATTACACTTTCTTTGTTTAACTACAATCCTCTAAGTAACATTTTTAATGTCATTGCAGACCCACCTTGCCAGACGGAGCTCAGCAATATTCAGAAGCGGCAAGGGGTAAAGAAGCTCCTAGGTGAGTAATAGATCATTCTTCTGAAGGCTTTATTGCTTACATAAATAACCCCAGGGAAACAGCAACATAAAATCAATATTAATCCAACAAAGATAGACTGCACTAAATTTCAGCAACAAAATTTATGAACTTTTTGAAAGCCATTAAACTTACTTTTATTACCTTACCTATTGAAAGATATTATGTCTGTTTTATTACCCTAATATAATGTTCATTTTGAAAGTTATTAAGTAAAAAGAGAGATTTAAGCAATGCTAAAGTTAAAACATCAGCAGAAAATTCAGTTCTAATTCTATGGTTAAGATTTAAGAATTGATGGCAAATATATATATATGTATGTGTGCTATTGAAAGCAAGTAGTTTTATAAATTGGGTAAAAAGGTGCTCTGAGTACCTCAGGGAAATTTGAACAGACTTGTTGGTATTTTTCATTAGTATTTTTTACTACCCTCCTTTTAATAAATAAATGTATAAGTAGATAGATAGATATTTCAGATTTTATTCAAAGCTTTGAAATATTTAAATGCTTGGATATAAACAGATTATTAAATTATTACATATGAGTGGTTTATTCATATAACCATACAATTTTTAAATAAACTATTTTTGGAATAGTCTTGAATATATAAAAATGGTGACAAAGGTACATAGCTTCCAAACATTCTTCACCCAGCTTCCTCTAAATATGACGTCTTGCATGTGCCAAATAATGATGGAACATTTGTAAAAATCTAAGAAATTAGCATTGCTATAGTCCTATTAAGAAAGCTTCAGAGTTTATTTGGATATCACCAGTTTTGCCACTGTTCTTCTTTTTCTATTTTGGAATCCAAAGTGTGACACCACACATGCAATATTTATTTTCACATATATTAACATACTTTTGTATTTAGTGGCACATAACTCTAATTTCTCTGGATCTGATTCATCTGTTTTATATTTTGACTTACCATCTTTGTAATTACAATATATTATGTTTAAATAACAGGATTTTTCACATTACTTGCAAATCCTCGTTTCAGTGGCCATTGTACAGAATTTAAAAATAAGTGTTTTGTAATAAAACATTTTTAGGTGTGAAAATTACTAATGATAAATGCTACAATGTGTCATGTTTCCTTTAACCCTGTTACAAGATGCAGGAGATATCACAGCTCACAAATGAAAATAATACATTCTGGCTGGGCACAGTGGCTCACGCCTGTAATCCCAACACTTTGGGAGGCCAGGGTAGGCACATCACCTGAGTTCAGGAGTTTGAGACCACCCTGGCCAATATGGCAAAACCCCACCTCTACTGAAAATACAAAAATTAGCCTGGCATGGTGGTGTGTGCCTGTAATCACAGCTACTCTGGAGTCTGAAGCAGGAGAATCACTTGAACTAGGGAGGAAGATGTTGCAGTGAGCCAAGATGGTGCCATTGTACTCCAGCCTGGGTAACAGAGCAAGATTCCATCTCAAAAAAATAATAATAATAACAATACATTCTTATATAGGTTTGTCTTGACAAATCAAAGTTTAGCCGTGTACTATAAAGACAGCCATTGAAATTCAACTGAAAAGTATTTTCTACTTAAGGTCTATTAGTAACAAAAATCTGTTAGAATACAGGTTTTGATTATTTGAAGGTATAAAAAAATACTTTGTGCCCATTTGGGAAGAGTTACCTTCATTATTCTTTCATAATATAAATGAAAATTTTTATAGAGAACACTAAAGGCTTTAAGCATTTCTTCTAATTTGGGTGGGGTATTATAGGCGTCTGAAATTGATCACTTGTTATATACGAGTATGGTGCCACATGTCCTGATTTAGAGATTCAGTCTTTGAAAGGAAAAGAGAGTACTCTTAGGAATTATGCTAAAACTGCAGACATCAACCAACTTTACTGGTATAAAGTATCAATTATGGTCACATTAACTATACATCATAACATGTATATGTCAAATATGTCAAATCATGGTAGTTGTAAAAGCTGTAGATGTAACAACGTTGAATTTTTTTTCTTATTTTTTTCTGGCCTTGAATCCATATAAAGTGTTCTGTAGTTACTGATATTCTTTATATCTGATTGACAGATTAGCAGTTCAGCTATTTGAATAAATGTAGTTTTTTTAACTGTTAATAATTTGCATATAACAATTTTCAAACTTTTTGAGATAGTGAAATTTTGATGCCATATGGTTACAAGACTAAGTAAATTTTGTCTTTTATCCACTTATTTATTTATTTATTTTAATTCACCAATAACTATCATGCTTCTGGTCACAGAAGAAAAAATAGTCAGAAAATAAAAGAAAATATTCTTATCTCCTAGAACTTAAATTCTGGTTGGAGTACTTATAAAGAACAAGATTTCACTTTTAAATTACTAATTAAGCATTTATCATGAGCATTGTGCCATGGAGTATGTTAGATTTTATAAATATAAAAATCAGTCTCTGGCCGGGAACAATGGCTTATGCCTGTAATCCCAGTATTTTGGGAGGTTGAGGTGGAAGGATTACTTGAAATCAGGAGTTCGAGGTCAGTCTTGACAACACGGCGAAACCCCATCTCTATTTAAAAACACAAAAATTAGCCCGGTGTGGTGGTGCACACCTGTAATCTCAGCCACTCAGGAGTCTGAGGTAAGAGAATCACTTGAATCTGGGAGGCAGAGGTTGCAGTGAGCCGAGATCGTGCCACTGCGCTCCAGCCTGGGCAATGGAGCGAGACTCTGTCTCAATAAATAAATAAATAAATAAATTTGTCTATCTGTTCTACTATTCCCAATAGACTGTGTTCCCTCTAGACCATGGGTTTGAGATGTTGTTCATACAACAATGAAAATGAAGAGAACCTAAATATTTCTAACTATAGATGATATCACAATATAGTGGTGAAAGTACGCAGGGACAGTCAACACACACACACACACACACACACAGAGAGAGAGAGAGAGAGAGAGAGAGAGAGAAAATGGAAGAAGTAAGTAATCAGGAATCTTTCACTTGAAAAGAAGACTTTAGATTGTGGGTCACATTTACGTCACATCTTAAAATGGAAGAGAGAAGAGAGAGATTCTAGTTGACATAAACAATGTGTAAAGAGACAAAACAGCATTGAATTTGGGAAAAACAGAGAGCTTGATTTGGAAAGAGCTTGGAATATAGGAATGGGGAAATGAAAGTAGAAATTTGCCAGTGATGGAGGCAGATGGTGACAGGTCTTCTGTCATGCTAAGTGGTCTGGGTGATTTAATATAAGCATGGCACTAATCAAATGTTAATTCTGTATTGTGCCTCTGAAACACTATCCTTTGCACAGTGAGAACTAATGAAATAGTAATTTGCTTAACAAAGGAAATGAATCCATGAACTATAAATGGTTCACTGTGGCAATGGCCAGCTCCATGACAGAAAGGACTTCCCTGATTTCTTCTAAGACATCACTGGTATCTATCCTGGAATACAGTGGACACTCCATATGTGTATGTCTTTAATGCATTAATGCATAATTTGGTGCCTATCAAAAAGGATGACAGCTTATTCATAAACTACATGTGTGTGTTTGTATGCCTGTGGCTTGTTTCAACAGGACAGTATATTCCCCTGTGTGATGAAGATGGTTACTACAAGCCAACACAATGCCACGGCAGTGTTGGACAGTGCTGGTGTGTTGACAGATATGGAAATGAAGTCATGGGATCCAGAATAAATGGTGTTGCAGATTGTGGTAAGGAGAAGGGTTACTTATTTCATAATTTCCCAAGCACAGAATTAAGTGCTTTAGTGCCTCATTCATTTGTTCAAGCATTTAATCAGGACTTACTCTATGCAAAGACTATAGAATATATAGGGTGGAGGAAGTGACAAAAAAACTTACTCCTAGCATGTTAAAAACTTGGATAGATAATAAGTGGTCATTGCATAATTTAGATTTTCTAGAGAGATTAATTAAAAGCTGGGTTCCTTTCCTACTTCAAATTCAGAAAGTGGTTGAGGTACTTCTTTTCCTCTCAGCTGAAGCAGACCTTTTTCATTCATCCTACTGCAAGTCAATAAACTCTATTTATCATGTCTTCAGATGACACCCTTTTGTCTGTATACCTCTGGAGATGGTGACTTAGGGAATATGTGGGTTCACCAGCCAAAGAAATACAAACCTTTTTAAAGTAAAAGTTCATAAATTACAGCTATATGAGCATATTTCCTTGTGCTTGAGTGAGGAAAATGTAATTTGATTGTTTAAAGGGAATTGTAGTTAATATTCAAATTCTTTTTTAGGAACATGCATTTTTTATGTATTTATTTATTTATTTTTATTTATTTATTTATTTTTGAGACAGAGTCTCCCTCTGCTGCCCAGGCTGGAGTGCAGTGGCCAGATCTCAGCTCACTGTAAGCTCCGCCTCCCAGGTTTGGGCCATTCTCCTGCCTCAGCCTCCCGAGTAGCTGGGACTACAGGCACCCGCCACCACACCCAGCTAGTTTTTTTTGTATTTTTTAGTAGAGATGGAGTTTCATCGTGTTAGCCAGGTTGGTTTCAGTCTCCTGACCTCGTGAACCTCCTGTCTTGGCCTCCCAAAGTGCTGGGATTACAGGCTTGAGCCACCGCGCCCGGCCTTTGTATATATTTAAAATAGAATGTAACAATTAGTTGAACATAGCATACATGCATTTTAAAATTTCCATTGTAGTACCATTTGTACTTCATAAAACATTTCTCTAGAATGCAAGTGTCAATTTTGTTTGTATTATCAACAGTTTTCATGACAAAAGCCACTTCATTGTACACACACACACACACACACGCACCAGGAATTAATTCATTGTGTTTCAATTAATATAAATGATCAAAAATGAAAATAAGGTACTTTTTAGTCTTACATTTTAGAAAATATTTAGATGTATTCTTCAAGCAAATTTTAGGCTAATAAACTAAGACTGTTAATAAAAAGATAAACAATAAGAGTAGTCTCATTTAATCTTTAAATTCTTGCTCTGAATCCATTTGTTCATAACATTTTTAATAGCTTAGTTTTGTTTGCTGACCTGGCCAATGCAATTAGATTTAAGTAGGAAGAAAGAGGATTCAGTAGCTACCTTACATAAATTTTACATATAGGGAACACATCTTTGTAATATGTACTGTAAAGTAGTTGCATTATAAATTACTTCAGTTGTCACTGATGACAATGATGGATATATAACTTTTTTATGTTGTAAATAAAAATTATATGGGGATGAGTTCCTTAAGTGAACAAGAACATTGTTTTTGGAACGTGGACATCTAAGTTTTCTTAACATTTTATAACTAATACAGCAGATGAAGTTGGAGAATGAAACAATATTTTCTTCAGTTAAGATGGGAATTTTAGTATGTTGTCTCGTGAGATCAACCAATTTATAAACCTTAAAGTACATCAATTGGATTTATTATAATTAGATACAAAGAATTATAAGAATAAAATATTAGAAAGAGTAGAAAATAAATCCACACCAGCATTGGAGGAGCTGAAAAGTCAATATGCGGTGAGTGCTAAGATGTATGTGCATTATTGCCTCCATAAATATTAATAGTTATTTTTAAAATATTTTGTAAAATGTTAGTTTTCTATTGCTGTAGTAACAAATTCCCACTTAGTGGCTTAAAACAACAAACGTTTATCCTACAGTTCCGTACCTCAGAAGTTCAACACAGGTCTCACTAAGCTCAACATCAAGATGTCAGCAGGAGGGTGCTCCTCTCTGGAAGCTTTAGGGGAAAATCTATTTCCTTGCCCTTTTCACCTCTTAGAGGCAGCTTGCATCCCTTGGTTCATGGACTCTTTCCTCTAATCTTAAGCTGACAACATTGCGTCTCTGATCATTCCTCTGTAGTCCTCGCTCCTTCCCACTCTATCTGGAAAGCATTTTCTTATTTTAAGAACCTAAGTGACAATTTGGATCCACCTGGATAATTCAGGATAATCTCTCCAATTCAAATTCCTTTACTTAGCCGAATTTGCAGTCACTCTTTCATGTAAGGTAACATATTTATAGGTTCTGGAGATTAGGAAATGGACATATTTGGTGGGGCACTTTTTCTGTCACACTTGTAGAAGAAATTTTAAATTAAAATGCACAGTCTGACATGAACTTCTATAAAAACTAGGCTGAGATCAATCTTGCATAACACACCTCGATAATGATTCTGCTTTTAGCACATACATTTTAACAAATGATAGATTTTTAACATGTGATAATTTTCCAGAAAAAAGGATCTTTCCTTATCTTTGATAAGTAAGATAGAAAAGCAATTACTTTTTTAAAAATATTCTTAATTTTTGTAAGGATTTTGTCTTTCAGTAGTTAACACTATTCAGTCAAATAAAGGTAATGTTTATGTTCACTTTTTTTAAGCTATAGATTTTGAGATCTCTGGAGATTTTGCTAGTGGAGATTTCCATGAATGGACTGATGATGAGGATGATGAAGACGATATTATGAATGATGAAGATGAAATTGAAGATGATGATGAAGATGAAGGGGATGATGATGATGGTGGTGATGATCATGATGGATACATTTGATTGATGACATCAATAAATTCTACATTTCTAATATTTACAAAAATGATAGCCTATTTAAAATTATCTTCTTCCCCAATAACAAAATGATTCTAAACCTCACATATATTTTGTATAATTGTTTGAAAAATTGCAGCTAAAGTTATAGAACTTTGTGTTTAAATAAGAATGATTTGCTTTGAGTTTTTATATTCCTTACACAACAAGAAAATACATATGCAGTCTATTCAGAGAAAATAAAGTTTTGAAGTGCTACTATAATAAATTTTTCATGAGAACAAACTTCGTAAATCTTCCATAAGCAAAATGACAGCCAGTGCTTGGGATCGTACATGTTAATTTTTTGAAAGATAATTCTAAGTGAAATTTAAAATGAATAAATTATTAATGACCGGGGTCCTGAGGATTTAAGAAAAATATGCATGCTCTAATTGCATTTCCAAAGTAGCATCTTGCTAGACCTAGATAAGTCAGGATAACAGAGAGATACCACATGGCAAGAAAAACAAAGTGACAATTGTAGAGTCCTCCATTGTGTTTACATTAATAGTAATGTTTTTAACTATGAAGTTATTCTGGATCTCATAGTACATTTTACAAAATGGCAAGTATGGAAAACCATGGATTCTGAAAGTTAAAAATTGAGTTGTTCTTTCCAATGTGTATTTTAATTTGGATGGCAGTCTCATGCAGATTTTTAAAAATATTCTTTAATAACATGATTTATTTGCCTTTCTAGATTTCTTTATCTTTCTGACCAGCAACTTAGGTTTCAGAGTTTAAATTAGGAAGACAAAGGGAAAGATTGATTTAAACCGTATTGTTACAAAGTTTGTCATTTGCCCCAAGGTCAAATTTTAAATTCTTAATTTTCATTTTATTTCCCATTTTAGATAAAAATTTGCATTTAATCTTAGAATTAAGTTATTTTTGTTAGTAGTGCCGAAACCTAGAGAACGTATTGTATGGTGCCTTGCAAAAATAGAAATAGAAAGATTTTAGCATGCATACCAATATAGTATATTACGCAATATATAAGCACACCTAATTAACAGATTAATAACAGTAAAGGTACTGCTGCTGGAATGAAGAAAACGGGATATGTTTCTTCCTTTTTTTCTATTGTTACATAATTGCCATGTGGACTTGTTTATGATTATTGTGTAGAGTAGCATTTAAGATTTAACTGTAGCAAAAATTACTTTAACCACTGTGTTTAAGTTAGCATGTTAATTAATTGTGTAGACATTTTGGCACACCATCACTTTTAACTATATCAGACCAATGGTTTTGTGCCCATAATAAAAATGGAAAATCCTGTTGAATGTTACATATTGGTATCTTTAATTTCAACAGTCGGTAAACTGGTTTACCAGTATACAATTCATTGAAAGCAAAATTGATGAATTATTTCAATTTAATTTATACACACTCAATACAAACTTTAATGTTGACTTTATGTAATATTTAAAGTATAATGCATTTTCTTTTTTACTGTTTATGTATAGTTTACAAAATAAAGAATCTTATAACCAAATTGAACTGTTCCTCAATGGTTTTTCTGGAATACACAGAGTAGCATGAAGGCTTCTTAATCGAGTCTTTGATTTTTAAAATGAATGCATCACAAACTAGCTAGGGGAGTTTCCTGAAATTTTAGAATTTCAAAATTAGAGCTCTTGGAATCTTGAATATTATTTTTCAATGTATGTTAAAATGTGTTTTTGTTGGTGGTGGTTTGTTTTATTTCATTTGTCATAATATTGTAAAATGGATCATATTTTTGTCAAGGCTGTATTTTAAAACCCACTTTTATAGTGTCATACTTAACATATTTGGCTAAATTTCTATAGCAACAGCATTTTGAAGAGTGGTCAGATAGCCTTGTCTATTTAACAAATGTATATAAATATAACTGATTGGGAAGAGACAAAAACAAATTATATACAGAGGTTTAGCAAATGAATGTAACATAACAAATATAGTAATGTTGAAGTTAGGCTGTTTTTCTAAAGAAGTGTCTCTTAGACTCCCAAGAAAGCAATTAAATCAACAGCAAATAGAAAATAAAAAAAGATTACACTATAAAACTTTATGTAAATTATTTGTATACAATATATATTTGTGTGTGTATAAAAATTCTATTTGTAATGTTTATTAGGTCTTTTCATCATCGTTTAATTAATTTTAAATATTTTCATACAATACAATTATACCTATACATTTATCCCCCCAAAATATAAATATTGGACAGCTACTGTAAATAAGACAGTATTCTACACACTAGATATTGATTAATGAACAAACTATGAAGTGTAAAGACAGGCAGTACATTTATTCCTAGCCCATAATACAATATGGCTATAATCTCCATTGGAATAAACCAAAGAAAGATATTTACTAGATTTAATTTGAATAAGAAACGAGGTATTTTGAACTCCCAAACGAGAGTCCTTGATAGAAACCCCAAATCTTAACATTTTAATTAAAAAGAATCCAAGTATCTCAACAGTTTGTTCTTTCTTAAATTGAAATCCGATTCATAGGTATAAAGTCATACAATACAGTCTATAATAGTGTCTTATCTTTCTCATCTGTGTTATTTAGAAAGCACACATGCGACTCAAAAATTACAAGACATTCGGAATCACAGCAAATTGAAAACTGAAACATTAGAGGAAATGAGTAGAAGAAACATACAAATAAAATAGCAAATGTTCCTTTTATGCCAAAATCTAATATGGAAATTAATGATGCTTTATTGTTGTGCCTATCGGGGATGGTAATTCTGCCTAATACTATTGAGGGAAAAATGCTAAGTTTAAAATAAACATGAAACATTTTAATATTGATCAAAATGATATGTGACCTAATTCAAACTCTGTATTTCTGCCAATCATTTAATAGAAAACATCCATCGAACCAAAATATCAAAATTATTAGCAAAAATGTTCTAACTAATAAAACAGCTGCTAAGAGTACTTTATTCTGTGTATACATTTTTACAGTATTTTTATTTTACATGAAACTGATGATGTGAAAAGTAACTCATAAGCATTGATCCTTATAGGCTAGTGATAGTTTATTTAGAGCATATTTACAAAATTGCAGGAATAAATACACATTTTGTAACAAACATTTTGATGAATTGTTTTATATAAAATTAATGAAGTGTCGTTGTTAGCTGTATGCAATAGATTATTAAGGGCTCCATACACAGTCTACTTTTAGAGATTTCTAATAACTTGGGGGGAAAGTGGAGAATGAGCCACACTGAATACAGCCATCATAAGTAGTGTACTTGTTCTGCCAGACACAAGTGTGCACATATGCACACACAAACACATGCGTGCACACAGATTAGCCCAGTGTTTTCTTTGAATTTAAAATACTCAGTTTAAGTTTTGAGTTAAAATACATTGATTCACATTTATTTCTCTTATATTTTGTTCATGATGAATAAAAAGTACTAGACCATATCATACATTGCTCAGATGAAGTAAGAAAATTTAAAAATCTAGAACATTTAAAGTGGTATGAAGATATAAATAAATGATGATATGAGCTCCTTGTAGCTTATTCTATTTGACATTATTTTAAACCTAATAGCTGATATGAAGGTTAATATAATGAAAGGCGACATTTTCACTCTTTCTAGTACACGTTTTTATAGAAAATAATAGCAACTGTTTAATTCTGTGTTTTAAAAGTATTTCATGAATTATAACTTAGCTTCATGAAACTTTTATTAATGATTAAGTCAATGAACACTTCAAAAAGAACATCTTAAGCTTTTGCTGTATACAATATATGTGTCATCCCTCCTGGGACAAGACAAATCAGAATAGTCTTTTTGAATAGTAATTATTTTCTTTCCTCAATTGTATATGCATATCTGTTGTCATTATTCTACTTAATATCTTTACCTAATTTCTATGTCTCAGTTAAAAGCTCAGCAAGTAAAATTAAGATAAATGAATATATGGTCCAACTTGATATAAAATGGCAAAGCAAACCATTGTAGGTGGAAAGATGTTTTTTAAATTGCAACAACCAATAAACCCCATCACATCCATATTCAACTCTTTCAAAGACATCCTTGGGGAATACCTTTTTAATATATTTTAATCATCAACCATCCCATTCATCCTTAAATGTACAAATACACATATTTCTAGGTTTGAAGTCTACATGCCTTATCTTTCTTATCTGTCAAATGTAGCTTAATGTATTTATCCTGAAGAATTTATGTGAAGGTTATATGCAACACAAAGTTAAAGCAGGAGCACTGTGTTTATCCTGTAGTAAATGTCCACTAAATGCTTTTTTTTTTTTTTTCAGATCTTTAAAATAGGTTGACAACAACAGTATTACTGAAGTTTTCAAGATGTGCTGTAGAATTATCTTCTCTTTTTACAGCTTTATTCACAGTAATACAAACAAATGATCCAGTTGATAGTACTCTCATATACTAAATAGGCATAATAAATCGTGCTCACATCATAGAGTCGGTATGACAATGAAATGAGTTAACACATGGTGTCTGGAACATAGTAAATACCAAATTAATGTAATTATTTTTGTTACTTATAGAAGCTTATGAGGCATAGTAAAAGTCATATGAAGAAATGAAAAAATAAACTTCAAACCCAAGTATCTTAACTAGTTGGCTTCCCTAAGTAATTATTCATTTTTGAATAGATATATTTCAAGAGAAACATGAACTAGAGTTGATGTCAACTTACTATATGTACCATACATTAACTGTCATATACATTAAATTCAAGCAATCAACTAAGAGATGGGTATTATTTTTTCTTATAATAGAGATGAAGTATCCTAGAAATCACTGATACTCATCATTCCTGGTTCCTCTCTCCTTTCTAAACACGTTATACCTTCCTTTTTTCTTCACAGTCAAATTGAGGTCATGCAACTAGTTCTGGCCAACTGAATGTGAGTTGAAGTCACGTGTATGACTCTTGACAAGGCAGGTGTCACAGTCGTCAGTTTACAGGCAGTTGGGATGGAACAGTGACACTACTGTATCTTTACCAGTGTCTCTCAGTTCTACTGGTTATTGAACCATGTCATGCTACTTCCACAGTTACATTTGCAACAACTATCCAAAACTAATGCCTTCTTCTTAAACAACATGCAACATGTTTTGAAGCCATCTCAAATCCTTGCAAAGGAATCAGAACATAAACAAGTCAATTCTGTTGTTTAATGAAATATATTTGTGTAGCAGTCCAGGAAATGCAATTCCTGGAGTCAAATCTCTGAGCTCAATCTGATGCTGCTTTGTGATGTTGGACAAATAATGAACTTCGCTGTAACTGGTTTTCTTCATGTGTAAAGTAATAGTAGTGTTAGGATTTAATCCATAAGGCTATAATAATGCTTCAGTGGACATTCTAGTAAAATACCTAGCTCAAAAAATTTAGCTACAATAATAATAATAATAATAAAAGGACAGTAAGTGTAGTGGTAAAAGCCATGGACAGTATAGTCTACCAGGTCGGAATCCTGGCTCTGGCACTCGTGGACTGCGTGACTTTAAGGAAGTTACTTGACATCTCCATGGCTTAGTTTTCTCATCAGTGAAATAGGTATGAGATTAATTCGCACCCTAGCACGTGTGGCAGAGGATTACAAACGTTAATACATATGAAAACACTTAAAACAATGCCTAGCCACATAGTCAGCACTGAATAATAGTTATTATTAAGAAGAGGGAAATGAAGAAAAATAAAATCAATAAACCAGCCACTATTTTAGATCCATTATATTTTTAAGATGAGAATATAGAAATTGTTATTCCTGTTTTCTGTGTTAGGAAACAGTTAGTCCAGAGAAATAAGGTGATCTCTAAAGTCACCAGGGATATCAATGTAGAAACTAAAGCCCAAACTTAAGAAACATCAGCTCAATGCAGTCCAATATCAACTTGTTCTTGAGCTCTCATAAATGTTCTCTCTTAAAATGCAATTCCTAATTAAGGGCTAACATTTTCAAAACATTGATTATCCACAATGTCTTATCCAAAAGAATGGTTATTAATAGAAAATTTTTAATGTAATTTCACTGTAATTCTTTTTTTTTTTTTTTCCTGAGACGGAGTTTCACACTTGTTGCCCAGGCTGGAGTGCAGTGGTGCCATCTTGGCTCACTGTAGGCTCCACCTCCCAATTTCAAGTGACTCTTCTGCCTCAACCTCCCCAGTAGCTGGGATTACAGGCATCTGTCACCACTCCCGGTTAATTTTTTGTATGTTTAGTACAGACGGGGTTTCACCATGTTGGCCAGACTGGTCTTGAACTCCTAACCTCAAGAGATCTGCCCGCCTCAGCTCCCAAAGTGCTGGGATTACAAGTGTGAGCCACCGCACCTGGCCATAATTCTAATTTTTAATGTGTCTTTTTAATTGGTATGTTAAATAGTGCTAAATTTCAATGTTCTTTTTTGCCCCATGGGGGTAAGATGTAGAAATACCAGAGTGAAAATAAAAACAACAAATAGAGACTATAAGTTTGTTTTAGAGCTTACCAGAGGTTGCATCAAAGTGTAATTTAGAACTTACTAGATTTAAAAGAGAAAACATAATTTTTTTAAAAAAGAATTCTTCTAATTTAAAAACAATTTTATAAAAACTTTCTTCTTATACAATTAAATGATAGCAAAATAGATTGTGTATATGTTATATTTGGCGGAAGAAAAAAAATGAATGATTTTGTACAAGGTTGGTTCTGTTGGTCATGTGAATCTCAGACTATTGAGACTCTTTATTTGATTGATTAATGTGTATTTGGTGTCAACCTCATAATTATAAGAGCAATGCGTAACTATGTCAATCTTAGTTTAGTTTCTAAAATTTGAGATAATTTGAATAAATTTTTGTTTCCATGTGAGTCATCTGGCTATTATTTTTTATTGGGCATACCTAGAAGGATTATTATTTGAAATAAAACTGCATGCTGACAGTTTAGAGTGAGGAGAAACAGAATTCAATAACTATAAGTAAGTTACATTATATTATATTTTACATTAATTATCACATACACTTGGCATTTAGCACACTTAAAGTGTTCCAGTGCCACAAATGCATTTTTAACTTGAATCACTCCTACTCCAAGCAGATGAGAATAAACTGCTCTCTTGGTGCTATGCTTTAAATATGGTCTGCTTGGCTCTGCCAAGTCTCATGTTGAAATTTGGTCTCCAATGTTGGTGGTAGGGGATGCTTGGGGGTGTTTGGGTCATGGGGGTGGATCCCTCATCAATGACTTGGTGAGATTCTTGCAGGAGTGACAAGAAGTGGTTGTTGAAAAAAGTCCAGCACCTTCTTCCCTCTCTCTTGTTTCTTCCTTGCCATGTGATTTCTGCCCACACCTCTTTCCTTCTCCCTCCATCGTGAGTAGAAGCAATCTGACTTTCTGACCAGGAGATGCTGGCACCATGCTTCTTATATAGCCTGTAGAACATGAGCCAGACAAACCTCTTTCCTTTATAAATCACCTACCCTCAGGTATTCCTTTATAGCAGCACAAACTGACTAGGACAATTGACTAGTAAGGAAACCTAGCCATTCACCCAGCATCCAATTTCAACATAGGTTTACAAGACCTATCTCTTCCTTTTTTCACTAGTGACAAACTCTTACTTGTGTTTTAATCCCCCGCTCCCCCACACACACTTTTTTTTCTTTTTGGAGACCGAGTCTCACTCTGTCGCCAGGCTGGAGTGCAGTGGCTCAATCTCGGCTCACTGCAACCTCCACCTCCCCAGGTTCAATCGATTCTCCTGCCTCTACCTCCCAAGTAGCTGGGATTACAGGCACACATCACCAGGCCCAGCTAATTTTTGTATTTTTAGTAGAGACAGGGTTACACCATG